GTTTAATAATAAAAAAAATATTTTTATTTTTTTGGTAGTTGTATAGCTTTATCTAACAAATGTTTGATTTTAATAACAAGTTACCTTTTTAATTGTAATTATAAATTAATTGTTTATAGGTGCAACAACACCATAGCGATATCAAAGAGCTACTATTTTTAAACAAGTGGAATCGACACCAACCAGTTTGTTTCCGAATGACTTGGAACATTGTACTGTTGTCGCTGTTGCTAATTGTAATAATGTAATGAGTATGGATACAAATATCAAAACAAGGATGTCGACTTCAAAAACTATGACAATGGTTAGAATACAGACATTTGAACAAGAAGTAGTTAGAAAAAGTTCTGAAAACAACCAACTTACTTCAGAAGTAAATTATTTAAATTTAAATGGGGATAGCTTTAATGGTAGTTCTAAGATGTTACCATTTTATACTGGCCTAGAGAATATTAATCTTTCTTTTATTAATTTTAGAGGAAATTGTACCTACACTAACTTCTAGTAATCGAATGTAAACTAAATTTTAAAAAAAACTATTGATAAGTATGTTTTATGAAATTAAGGTAAAAAATGTGATTTGTTGATGTAGGTTATAGGCATAATATCACTTGTGCTGTACTGCATCAATAATTTTTTGTAAGGGTTTAATTTTTTTAAGAGCATGTATTTAAAAACCGTATTTATTGGTCAAGCAGGGAAACAATGCATTATCTTGTGCAACGTTTATTTTTAATGCTTTTGACAACTCAGTTGCGATTATCATTGGTTGCTTTGAAATTGGAATTGAAAAACCCAGTAATTTAACAGCTAAAGCACAAACTTGGTCCTCTTACAAAAACAAAAATACATTTAAATATTTGATTTCTGCCACACCTCAATAGGTAGTATCATTTATATCTGAAGGATGAGGCGGTAGCATAAATGACACACACATAACAAATTAAAGATTAGCTACTATAGCAGTAATATTAGTCTACTGTCCTTAAAATTGTTATAACATATAATTTGAAAACATTAATATAAAATTAAGAATTCTTCATAAATGTATTGTTTAAATGTTATAATCATAGACACTTTTCTGTGCTCACCTCTTGAAATGATTAAGGAATTGATTCCCATTGTTGGGCATAGGGCTAAACTTATTTTGAACTTAAAACAGCGGAAAACGATAATTCAAGGAATACCAAACATGAATTGCAGACATGATATATACTGTAATATTTTATTTAAACATTATTAAAGTATAATTAAAATATTCTCATATTGTAATCTAATCTAATATATTATAGACATTACTTAGTAATTTGTATTTTAGATTAATCAATCACTATCATCCTCCAGTGATGTTATTAATGATAATTTATTAGAACCTAATGGTACCAACTATTTTTAAATAGATTCTTTTAAGGCTTTTTTTTCTGAACATTTTGACAGTTAAATCATCAATTTTGGTTCTTTAATTATTAATTATTTTTTTCATCACTGTTACTTTTTTTAAAATAGCAAAAATGTGTATTCTTTGATATGTATCTAAGGTAATATGGTATAATGGTATATTAGTATAAGATTATTATTTGTATAATAATATTAGAAATCCGTAATTTCCTCATATTAAAGGTGGGTACCTACACCTAATTTAAGTGCCAACCTATATTGATATTGACTATTTATCGTAGTATCTTGCAAATAGCTTATTTTAAATCATAATTATATTGATCATTAAGTAATTCTTGTTATTTTATTTAAGATTACTTCCAGATGAATTAAAAATTGTCAAGAAGTGTTTGGCATAGATTAAAATACCAAAAATATAAATTATTTAAAATTAACATTGTTCAAGAGTTCACTCATTTAAAAGTACAATTGTCACAGAATAGACAGTCCAATGCATCCTACATGGCTGAATATCTGGTATTTAAAAGACCTACAGGATATTTTGAGTGTTATATATTTACTACAATAGGATTTGATGGGACATTTTATGCTTATGAAGTCAAAACCCATGAATTAAATAGTTCTATTTTCTAAGACTCATTAATTTCTCCTACACCAGACATGTTAAAAGTCTTGTCATACGAAACAAATAATGTGTCAGTTTGTGATCCTTTGTAAATTTTGTAAAATATATGTATTACAGAATAAATTATTATCATTACTTATTATTTTGTGTTATTAAAAAAAAAGAAATGGCATTTTATTTTTTAAACTGTAAACTATGTGCCAATAATCAATATACTATATTACCATGTATCATATGATTCAAATCAAGTCAAACTTGATATAAAAGTCAGTATTAATTTCTGGTCAGGTGGCACTGCTGGAAGCCTTCCTATTAATGTAATTATATCAAATTATGTATGTCAACACACTAACTCATTATACCTTTGTCTCATATAGAAAGTAAATATATTTAAAATAAAATAAAAAAAAGCAGTTAGTATAATTTATTTTAATTGTAGAATATGAACATTTGTATTGTATAATTTGGTGAATTAATTTGCTTTTAATTTCAAACATTTAACATATTATGTATAATTTATTGCAATATTGAGGTATTAGTTTATTTTTTATATATATATATATATGAATATTTCAAATTAAAGATTATATTAAAATAGATTATTAATATTATGTTAAATAACTAATATGTAAATGTAGTGAATATTTAAATAAAATAAATATATTTTTTATCTGAATTTTGATAGTCGGTGTATAAACTAAAAGTGTTTTAACTACAACAAACCAAAGTTAATTTAAACTTACAAAATATTCCGTACATGTAATCAGTTAATGGTGCAATGTTAACGATACAAATACTATAACGGTAACTCAAAATTGCGTACCAACAAATACAAATTTTAGTATTGACAACAAATCATAGTTTGTGAATTGTAAGTATGTAAAACAAAATTTACTTGAATCAATACAAACATGCCCAGCTATATGTACAAAATAGTGTGATGTACTAAATATTCAATTAAGTTACTACAATTAATTATTTTGTACATGTGATCAAATTTATTCAGTTAACCTAACCTATCGACGGTGTCTCAAACTTCAGAGTTAGAAGCCTATATCGGTGGTTAAATATCAGAGTAAACACACAAATTCTGCAACTATGGAACTTTTCGTCGACGGTTATTATTTATATTTAACAGTGCACAAAAAATTGTGTAACATTATGAAAATTAAATTAAATTAAATTAATAAGCAATTTCAATGAGGTTTAATTTAAATAAATTTAATCTAACATACACAACAATAATAAATAAAAGACAGTGTACTAAAGACTAAACTGACCATTAATGTAATGAAATAATGTTGAATTTTATAATTAATATGAACTACATTTATTGAATATATTGTATTCATGTACGTAGCTATATTATAATAATTATATAGCTACGTACAAGAATACATATTCAATAAATAAGCTTTAAGTATCATACTATTATTCATAGTATTCATACATTCTGCAACTATGTAACGTGATATAAATACAGAACTGCCCATCATTGCCATTCTGAATATTATTTATTTAATAGTGCATACAAATTATATAAGTATTATCAGAATGAAATTAAATTAATAAGCAATTTCAATGAGGTTTAATTTAAATAATTTAATCTAACATGCATAATAATAATAAATAAAGACAGTGTACTAAAGAATAAACTGACCATTAATGTAATGAAATAATATTGAATTTTTTTAATTAATATACCCTACATTTATTGAATACATATTCAATAAATAAGTTTTAAATATTATACTATCAATAATCCATAGTTTATATAATAAAAATATTAAACAAATGAATTCTGCAGCTATATAATACAATTTAGCTACATCGACAGTTTAGTCCATATTGATAATTAAACACAAATAATTCTGCAACTATGTATTGTGATATAGGATACGGAACAGTTCATCAGTGGCCATATGAATGTAATTTATTAAATAAATCACACAAATGTCAATGATGTACACAGCTATTTGTTTTCACATAAACTGTCCATTAAAATACACATATAACAAATTAAACACAATTCTGTGGTTAGATTTAAATAAATTTACTCAAAAATACAAAATAATAAATAAAAGACGATATTTTAACCTGACCATTAATGCTTAGTGTTATGATATAATATTGGATTTCACAATTAATACACTCTAAATTGAATGAGTAACGTTTAATTGTATATTGCTAAATGCTAATATATTCATGTACCTATATCTTAATTACTCATATAAATATATATATATATTAAATAAATGAACTATTCATTTGATGCAGAACCACATATTATTATTATGCATAATGCATAATGTGTACCTATGCAATTTAAATATTTAAGTTTTTTTACAACAGAAATTGCAATGTATTTGCATTCAATAGCATGATATTTGCATCTATTTTGTTAACTATATGCAATAATATTAATAATGGTCAGATCTAAATGCCAGATTTCATCGGAAGCAATGCTTAATGCAGTATTTGCTGCTGAATACAAACGGCTTAAATCCTCAACATTTTCCCATCCGAAAGCATCTGAGTAGGTGTCCCATAGGTTTAGGAGTTAGACAAAATTCGTAGGGTTGGTTCGTGAGGGACTGACTTGCAAGACATTCGAACACAGATTTCGAATTTACATTTTTATACGTACGATGAAGCCGGAATAGCCGGAATTGAGACAGAGAACCGTATTATTCAATTGCCGATTATCATGGCTGATGTGAGATTTCTAGACTCTGAAACTAGAATTTCAAATATTCCCGCTTTCGAAACGAGACCTCCAACCCTTATCAACAATAATTATCACCTCCTAAATTTTTGTTTTTTGACCTCCAGTGACGTGGACAAAAGTAACTTTTATAAGTCATTTTAACGACATTGTCGTCTCTATCACAAGCCCCCTGTTTGGCGACAGCGTGTTTCCGAGTTTAAAATAGTATTCGGCTGCACTTGTTACACGTCGTCGTTTGTTTTGTATAGCTAGCAGTTGGCAACCATGGGTAAAATTGTAAACAATATTCTAATGATAAAAACACCGACTCTACGTTTACTGATTGCACCCGCAACGCCGTAATTCGACTAATACGGAATACAAAATACTGACGATTATAAACAATTACAAACCACGTTTCGTTTTGGCGCTTTAATTTAGTAAATAGTAAGTGAATTTTTATAAATGAGTGCGATGGACATGATGAAATGTTACTTATCAACTAACCGGATCGTTCTGCAAGCCAACAGCACGGATCCGTTGACCTGGCAAAAATTGCACACATTTTTACCATCTTTACATGAGCATCTATCTTGTCGGGTTTGTCATAAGCTGCTCGACCGACTGAATCCCTATTTGGGCGGATATGCATGTACAGCGTGTGTGGATCAACAGACAACCGAAAATTCGTCTAGCACGATAATAGAATGCTACAAGAAATTGTGTGCTTACATACATAGCTCATCATTTTACAAAGTTATGTGCACAAGAGTTGAAGACAAACTGATAGTCGAATTAATAACCGAAGTTATTGGTTTATCTCGATCAGTTAATGGCTACAGTGGAATGGTAAATGGTGGAGTGATTAAAGAAGAAATAAAAGAAGAGGACACAACTTTATTAAACTCATCAGATATTCAACTACCCATAGACAACCAAACATTGGAGGAGTATATTGACTTACAAATATTTGATGAACAAGAACAGAGAAATCAAGATGAATATGTATTCAACAATATTCCTGAAAAGAAGGTTTGAATCTTATTTTTTATTTGTACTTAAAATATATATCATTTAAAATATTGTACGTTTTAACAGCAAAATGAACGTGGTCAGGGCTGTCGATGTGCTACAACTACTACTGACAAGCTAACATGTTTCGGACAGAGATGTCCCTGTTATATAGAACAAGAACCTTGTGATCAATGTAAATGTAGAGGGTGCAAAAATCCTAGACAGAAGAGATCCAATAATGATGACAACTTAGAAACAGATATAGTGGGTCGGAAACCAGTGATCTTAGAACTAATGTCTTCACTCGAGTCTTCACCCAATAAAAGCAAGCTGGTAAAATAAGAAAATTATAAAACATATTTATTAAAAAATGAATCATAATACTAGAAAATATATTTTGTTTCAGGCATTTAGTTCTTATACAATGAATGATATGTTACCGTCTTCTTCACACAGTGAAAGTTATGATCAAAATGGGACTGAACACAAACTTGAACATGCAAACTCTATTTTCAATTCTCCTTGAATAACCAGCATTGACATTATTAAAATGGAACTAGTATATACATATATATTACAATAATTTCATGGGATTAATTAAATATATTATTTATTTTAATAATTTATAAATCATAATTATCTGTGTGTGTAAAAAATATTGTAGTAATTAATTGTATATTATTATAAGGTCAATACCTGTTTATGATATTGTAATTATTATAATGTGTTATAGGCACATATTTGTTTTTGATAATGATAACTCATAAATTAAGATCAAACTGTAATTACAAACTAACTATTTGTCTTTTATAATAAATATTACTCTGTACAAATTAATGATAAGGTACTATGTTATTATTATCTGTGATACCTACTTTATGATTTTGTGATTTATTTTTTAAATAAATATCAATATTTGCCAGTGTAATATCAATAGAGTTATAACAACATTATAGTATTATGTTAAATAAAGGTTATAGAAGAATAAACAAATACACTAGCCGATATCATAAAAATACATTTTTATACTCTTTGGGTAATCTTTATAAATTCATACTGTATTGACATTGTTTTTTTAAATAAAAAAAGTGTATTTGTAACTTACTGCTGAACGCCCTTTCCCATTTGCTTACAATGGAGTAAATATCCCTATTTTTTAATATTCCTACTTACAAGAATCGTAGAAAATAACTATCTTTTATTTCTCTTTTTAAATGATTAAATAATAAAATTGAATACCAAGAAATATTAGAAAAAAGAAATCTTAAAGCAAATACCAACTTTACAAGATATAATGATTTATTTACTTTAGAAAATAAAAATGCTAATTATTCTTTTTCCTTCTTGATAATTTTACTGATATCCAATACAAATTCAGTAAAATAATATTTGTTTTTTTAACAATGTGAATGATTTTAAGTCAGCTTAATTATTTAGTATACTTCTATAAATTATTTCTTTTTCCCACTCTCTCTCCTCTCTCTTATTTGGTACTATATTTAAAGCTTTTTTAATATAAGTTATTTAACTATATTTTATTTGTATAAACATTTTAATTGTTCACTGTTAACTCGGTTAAATTAAAATTATATTTAATATTTTGTAAATTCTACTTTTATTTTAGTCTTAAATAATAGTATGTTATCGTTAAACTAATGTTCATCGAGTTTTTGTTAAATTATCCATATTAGCTATATTGCTATATTACTACTGTAAATGAATGTATTCCATAAAGTAATAAATAAATAAATTTGTAAACTCTTTATGACTTTATGTATTCTTTATGAATTCATACTGCATTGTACTAACTAAAAACTTTGATAAGTACATTAAGCATTATCTACAGTGTCTGAGAGGGTTGTTTGAGGAAAAATTTTTAAAAATTTTTTTTGTAGATTTATAAAATTAAAAAATGCATTACCACTTTGGGATGGTAGACAGAAGTGAAAACTTCTACTTATAAATTTTTAATATTTAGTTAAAATTAATGGAATTCTAAACCCTATTAATTTGTCATCAATACAACCTTAAGCGATTGACAAAAATTAATGTTCTTTGAGTGGTTGGTTTTAAATAATGTAACGGTTTTTTGGACGGGTAAGCAAGTCTACTTTGCATTGGTCGATGCATGTTTTTTACATTGTTTACATATTTTAATGTATTCGATATTGAAAACCTGAAAAATTCATTAATATTGTAAGATATTTATTCTCATCAAGAATTTGATAAAATTGAAAAAGTGCTTCAACTGATGCAAAGTAAACTTGTTTACCAATTCAATAATGTCTACATTTTTTAAATCTTACAACTAGAAGTACTTAATGTTTTGCCAGTAGTATATACCTATTTCACATTAATAAATCAATTTTTGTGAACAATAATTGGAACAATGATTAAATAACATGAACAATTATAGTATCAATGTATTTATTTAATAGATATTATGTATCTAAAACAATAATTTTTTTAATTGTTTAAAAAAAAAACAATTAAACAGGCCTATATTGTGTACCGGTAAATCAATATATTTTATGTGAATCAAAACCATTTAGCACTATTCTAACATGTTTATAGGAGATCATACTACCGTACGAAAATTACTTGAATCTATTTGTAAGTTACCTATAACGTGAAAAAATGATACATTTCCTAAAAAATCTATTTAATCGTAATGAAATCATTATTTTACGTGTGCCTATTTCAAAAAGTAATTTGGTTAGAAATATAAATCAAGCTATCGTGTATAAAAGTTTGTATGCTTTATTTATTGGTTTATACTTATAAGCAAAAAGGAGATTTACTTAATATATAGGGTTGCGACTCATGAGCTAGGAGCCACAACGTTTGCTGGGGACGTTGGAAATATAATATGGGCGTTAATAGAACATTATTTATAAAATGCTTACTCACTCTACTATAATAGAATAAAACCATTACTTATTACTACATCTTATAATTAGAGCAAGGACTTTCATGCACTAAAAAATTATCAAATATGCATTTAAAATATGCACTTATGCATCAAAAAATTAAAAATATGCGGTTAAATATGCCCTTAAAAAAATTAATTATATTATTATTCTATATAAATTTTAACTATATTTATATTATTAAATTCATTTGGAATCTGTTTTGAATATTGGATACCATTTCTTCATTTATTCTGCACATAATAAAACAAAAAAGGTATTTACCGACCATTATTATCATTTCAAAATAACATTTATCTTTATCATCTTTATTAGTTTATAACAATTGTTGACCTTAGTTCATGAAAAATGTTCACCAAAGAGCTTGATTTTCGATAAACCATCAAAATATGCACTAAAAGTTTAAAATATGCGCCTTAAACCAAAAAAATGTCCAAATATGCAAAAATATGCACTAAAAGCTTTTAGCTTTTGGTCACAAACGTTGTGAAAGGTATTGTGTACTTACTCTGCATACGTTTAACTAAACCATAAAAAACATGCAAATGCATGAAAGTCCTTGCTCTACTTATAATGTATAAGACACGCAGACAGGGGTTCCCAACTTCCCCCCTCAAGACTACATGACATATGGCGTTCCAATAATCAATATGTTTCATATAATCTGTAATTTTTTCTCATACTCCGAAAGGCCTAAAGAATTTGTAGGGAATGTTGCACAAACTTTGCTGAGGATCAGCTATTTCAGGTCTATGAAGTCAGGGTAATTTATGTTTATACTTAATTAGTATGTATAGACTTATAGCTACTATTAATACCAAAATAATATAAACTACAATAAAATTATGGTCAGGATTTACAAAGATTTTAGCATCGTTGTACATTTTTGACAATTCTTTTAATTTTTTGACATCTTGAGCCATCTGTTCAAAAGTCTTATAAAATTTTCCTGTAAAAATTTGTTTGGAAACAAGCGTAGTTAATTATTTTCTGTAAGACTAAAATAGTATTCGTTATAGCATCGCTTATCGCCGAGCCTATGGTTCAATAATTAATAAATTACCTTTATCTTTACGCATCTGAAGTGGAACATTATGAAATAGGTTAAACCGAAGGTTTGACAATAAAGGAATACGGGTCGCAATTACGAGTTTCTGTCGGATACAAACTACGCTTAACTTGGAGGTTCGAAATAATTCAGGAATATATATAAGTGAGATTCAGTTGTGATTAACTCTAGTACAGATGGCAGTGGCGAAACTAGGGGGGGGGGGGGGGGGTTCCCCCCCCCCCCCCCCGAAATTTCTAAGAGGCTTAATTAAAAACAACATACTGAAAATTTCATTTAGTTGTAATGTAACTGATATTCGAAACTGTATGGACACAATGCAAGCTATATGTAACTTTTTTGGCTATCCTAAAAGACAAAATGTACTCAAAATATCAATTCAGAATGAACTACATGAATCAAAATTGAAAAAAACTAAAAATGTTTTGTCTTACAAGGTGGGTTGAGCGACATGACGCTGTACTTGTGTTTCATGAACTTCAACCTACAGTTGTGGACGCACTTAATGAAATATCTACTTGGAAAGATAATGAGACTTATGCTTTAGCTAACCAACTTAGTTCCTCCATCCATCAATTAAGGTTTCAAGTAGCCTTAATGATATTATTAAAAGTATTTTCAATAAGTGCTCCTTTGAGCAAATTTTTTCAAACTGAAAACTTAGATTTAGAATCTGCTCTAGAATTTGCTGATATGACTCAATCAACCGTAAAACAAATCCGTGATAACGCTGATGCTGAGTTTGAAAATATATTTAAAGAAGTGGAGGATGTCTGTAGTAGTTTTGACATAACTGTTAGTGTTCCAAGAACAACAAGTCGACAAAAAAATAGGAGTAATGTTATGAATAATAATCCAACAGAATATTATAGAATCTCAACCAACATTCATCCCATTTCTTGATAATTTTCTTGAAGGACTACACGGACGACTTCTTGAACACAGGGCCAAACTAAAAAGTTTCAACTGCTTATTACCTAAGACCAGCAAACAAATATCTGAAGAAACGTTTGAGGACTTCAAAATTATGTTCAATTTTCAAACTGATATATTAAGCAACAGCAACAATTTGACTAGCTTAGAAGTGGGTTATGGTGAACTTAAAATGTGGTATAACAGTTGCACATTCAAATCACCAAATTTGTCGTCAACAATAACAGAACTATTTTTCCATTGTAATCCTGATTTTTTTCCTGTAATCTCAAAGTTATTGCAAATATTAATTCTATATCAGTCACAACAGCTACTAGAGAGAGGTCTTTTTCATCCTTGTGTCGATTTAAAAATTATCTCAGAAATACTACTGGTCAAATGAGACTAAATGGATAGGCAGTCCTCAATATACACCAAGATATTAATGTTGATCCATCGATGATAATTGATGAAATGGCTAAAACTTCAAAACGAAGACTCAATCTTAATTTATAAGTGTTTTTTTATTCATAATATGACTTTATTTCTATACCTATGACTTTATTATTTTATTTCTTGTGATTTATGATAATATTGAGAAATATATACACTATATTTGTATATAATATATCAACATTATGTAATATATTATATAATTAACCATGAATTATTTTATCTTATCTATATATTATATATTACTAATG